GGGCCCCAAGCCAAAAAAGCCTGTGGTTTATACCCGCATACTCATGATTAAATATTTCTGGTGAGTTTGCCTCATATTCTTTCTCTTGCCCAGGAGCTTGCTTTCTGCTTCTTCTGTGAATCATATCAGAAGCACACCCATAATTAAAGAGAGTGTGACCTGTGGACTTTCCATTGCAGCTGAGGACACTGTGATGACTTCACTCTGGTTTGAGTGTTAGAGGAAATGCAGAGACATGGCCTCGTCAGAAGAAAATAGACAGTCCCCCGGACACTCTGCATCTCTCACACAAACAGTGCACCCTAAATGGCCTTTAGAAGTTGGGGGGGTCAGTCTTTGCTCATCACTGGCTGCTCTGGATGGAAATACTGAAGGGTACTCACTTCCCATGGGTTCCTGTCATCTTGTTGGAGTACACATTTGCCATGACTCACATTATACAAATAATCTGAAGAATTTCTTTTAAAGTATCCAAAAGAGTAAGTGTGACAGGAAAGCAGGAAGGAAGACTATCCGTAAGAGAAAGGGACCAGCAGGGAGCAGGATCATAGGGAAGGGAGGTGACTAAGAATGAAGTATGATGACACATACGTGTACAAATTGTCAGTGAAACACATTACTTTGTATACTAACTCTCACAAAAAACTTCAGCCAACTGAAGAATACTGAGAGCAAGAGAAGTAGTCTTCCTTAGAGAAGGACACACCAATTGGTTATCCAATACCAATAGTCAGCCCTGAAAACATATATACATGTAACATTGTACAGCCTGAGCAGGTTACATTTAGAAATATATGCGTATATACACGTACATATATGCATATAACAAGAACTATTGACAAAAGAGGCCATAAATTTCAAAGAGAGCAATGAAGGGTATATAAGAAGGCTTGAAGGGAGAAAAGAGAAGGGGGAATGAAGTCATTATAATCTCAAAAATAAATGATACAACATTTTTAGGTTAAATTTTTTAAATCAAGATAAACTAGCACAAAGTGTTACCAAATTATAACTTGTAGACTTGAGGGACGTTTGCCTAAACTTCTGTATTAGCTTCATGAAATTGTATTTACTTGTTGCAAATACAGGATGTGCAGGAAATGTGACAGCAAGACAAAAAACAAAAAGCACTCCTTTGATTATTTAGTCATTGACAGCAGTCATTCTATTGATATTTCACTGTCCTTGATGATCCTGTTACCAAATTTAATCAGATGAAAAAGTCCTACCCAAATGAGTTAATCAAACCAGAAGGTAGAAGTTTCACATCAGCCTTCCATATGTTTAGGTTTTAGGTTAACATATAAAAATGGCTAACATTAGCCAATAAAAGAACGAATCTGGGTGAAGTTGACTGTAATAATGTGGACACTAAACAGGCTCTGCTTTGAAGCTTGTGCTATCCCCATGAACCTGTTGAGCACCCAGAAGGATTTGCAGTGATCTCTCCATTTCTTTTAAGCCATTCCCTTTAACTGTTCTTGATTAGTGCAAGGTTGATGAATCTCTCAAGAGGATTTAAGTTCAAGGAACTGACTCTTAATAATTAGAAGATAAAGGGCTGGAAAGATGGCTCAGAGGTTAAGAGCACTGGTTTCTCTTCCACGGGACCTGGGTTCAATTCTTAACACTCACAAGGTGGCTCAGAACCACTATGATCCCAGTTCCAGGGGATCCAGTGCCCTCCCCTGGCCTCTGAAGACACCAGGCATGCACACAGTACACAGATACACATACAAGGAAAGATCCATGTGCATAAAATAAAAATAAATTAATATTTAAAAATAAGCATAAGATAGGAATTGTCAGCGATGTAAATGCTTTCTTGAACTGGTGACTGTCCCCCTTGCACTTTGTGTAATGTACGTATGCAGCCCTGAATTCCTTCTGTGTGTTTATTGTTCATTTGGTTTGGCTTGTCACACTGCTTCTCATAGAAGTACCCAATGGAGACTGCTAACATCAGTGTACTAGTTCCTCTCTTTAAGCAGCCCAGAAAGGAATCCACCTTAGCAGACCTACAGGATGTATTGTTGCTGTTTGTTTCCTACTTGCTCCAAAAGCAGGCGTTTGTAGACCAACTTGAAATTCTTTTCAAATGTATTAATACTTTGTCCGTTTCCTTTTGAAAGTCACATCACTTTTTCTTGGCATTGTTGATTTATTTCTGTAGTACTTTCATGTGCCAAGGGCAAATTAGGCCATTCCCTAGAGAAGAAATCTGCTCGTTCTATTCTTAACTTTGTTTGAGATTGCCTAATCATCTCTGTTCTTCATTGTCTTGGTCTAGTGGTGACTAAAGAAACTGTTTAAAATGCCCCAAGATAGACCTGACTTGAATTGTTAAGATCATTCTCATGTGTGATGTTAAAACTTTTTCAAAAGAATAACTTGTGGAAATAAATTTAAATGCAAGACTTGCTCTGAAGACAGCTGCCAGGTTGAAAGCCCTGATTGTTGTACTCCTGCAAAGCACACTCACTAGGTGATGTTTCATGAGCTAGCTGGAATTTTTTTTTTTTTTCAAAGAACAAAGAGCTTGTATTAAAGCTATTCTTTTAGAATTTTTGTTTTGGGGGCAAGATGAGTTGTTTCTGTGAGCTAGCTGGACCACCTACTTCCCATCACTTCCCCATGCTTCACTCTCAAGAATAAAGTCCACTTCTTAAAGAATGGGCCTGGGGAGCAAGATCCCAGTGTCTGTGCTTCATCCTCTTCAGTAGCTTCGTACGGCTTCTCCAGATGAGAAATCCCATCGCTGGACCAGTCCTGCCTCTGTGGTGAGGAGACACAGTCTTCTGCCACCACCTGTTGCTGTTCTCTTTGCTTCCCACTATGAGCAGGAGGTTTTTAGATATGTCCACTGCGGTCCACCAACCAGTGAGAGAAATGTAAGCACTTAGAAAATTTCCTAGCAATTTGATATATCTGTTGACTTTAACAAAATATTTTTAAAATACCTTAATTTATTATTTGATAATATCTTATGTGTGTAAATGTATTGTGGTCATCTTCATCCCCTGTTACTCTCTCTTCTCCTCCAACTCCCTCTGAATCCTTCTTACCAACAAATCCACTTCCTAATTTGATTTCTTGTGAGTGTGTGTGTGTGTGTGTGTGTGTGTGTGTAATGTGCACATGTGTGTGTGCCTGTGTGTGTGTGTACGTATATAGTTACATGTTTGAAGGCTAGAAAATGTCAGGTGTCCTGTTCTATCACTCTCTGCCTTGTTGCCTTGAGACAGAGGCTCACACTGAACCTGGAACTTGACTGACAACCAGCAATCCCTGCCATCCTCCTGTACCTCCCTACCCAACCACCGCTTGCCAGGCACTCGGGTTACAGCACCTGCCTAATAATGTCTAGCTTGTACATGGGTGCTGAGGACTTGAACTCAGATCCTTATGTTTTCATAGTAAGCAGTTTTACCCATGGAACCATCTTCTCTGCTTCAGCTGCCAGGTTTCATGTTATACACCTCCTTGTCCCTTGGTTCTGAGCCTTCTCATTTGTTTTGCTCTATTTCGATTAAGTTCACTAATCAACCTTATTGAAGCACAGCTTACATACTGTAAGGGATAATATGCAGCCATCTCATGTTTTGGCAAAAACATACACCTATGTAATCATTACTTCAGTCTCTGTCCCACGAGAACATTGTCTGTGAGTCTCTGCAACAGTACTCTCTGCCTGTTGTTAAGCAGTTTTGTTTTCTGTGCCCACTGTTGGAAGTAAGTGGACTATGTTGAAGTAAGCCCTCCAGGGAAACAGCTCTAGGTGTTCTTTCTGGGGTCTGCCACATCAGTTTCATGTATAATAATGTATCTCCAGAAGCATCACTGCTGAGTCGTAGTACTTAAGTCTCAGTACAGTTGACACTGGTGAAATATTGACAGATATCCTTAGAAGTCCCCCACCCTTAGGAGTTAAGGATCTTCTAAGCTTGCACATTTGTTCCTCTGTAGGTTTGTCCCGTGATCAGTGTCTTTGAAGAAGGTGACATACAGCAAACACCAATTGCTTGGCTGTAGACCACGTCCTGGTTTCTAGTAACCGGGCTCTATGAAAGTCCATAGCTGCCTCCTGAAATGTTAGACCTGTAGCCTGTGTATAGATGCCATAACAGTATTTTGAAGTAATAAGGAGTTTAACCAACTGGACTGGGTATGAAGAAAGGTTTGGCTCTTGATGGTTCTGTCTATCACAATAGCTTGAGCTGAGAGGAAATACATTATAACCATTTAACATTTTCTTAGATTTTTTTTTTTTTGAATGGAGAAATAGGAATGCCACTGAGGTAGGTATGCCTGCAAAGCACTGAAGATCCTTCCACAAAGACTGGTTGCCGACTTGTGTGCTGTTTAACAGTGATGCTGTATGGCAGTGTTACCCCTGTGTTCAATGATGTGTCCAAATGCTTGGCATTTCCATGCATTATCTTGGGAGGAGAATCAATTAGTGCTCACTTGTTTTGCTTTATTTATTTATTTTTTTACTGGTATAAGTTACTACATGTTTATTACTATTTTAAACTTAACAGATAAGAAAACTGTCAACTCAAATTCTCTCATTTGTACCACAGTCACATGTACTACTTAAGTCTAAAAATAACCCAGGTATGTTTAAGTAAATGTCATCTAGGGTCTCGTGTAGTGGCCATATGATTTGTCCTTCTAAATGGCCACACTTTGCCTCAGTTGGCGGCAGAGGGAGGTTATGATACACGAGGGGCCATTGGATTTGTTTCATTTTCATTTTATTTAAGGGAAGGACAGCATACAGTGTCTTGAAGGGAGAACCTTCAAAAGAATATTTGGCTCGTTTCCTGAACATAATCAAAATTTCACTCTCCTTTTCTTTGCTAGAAGTTGAATGATTTATATTTAATAATTGAAATGCAACCAGTTCCCTAGACTTGCTCCTGCTTGGTGGGAGAGTCAACACCTAATACAAGAAACCCCTACTCATGATTTCCTCTTATTTTTAACTTTTGTTTTAGAACTCAGCCCAAAACCATGTTTGCTCAAGTGGAATCTGATGATGAAGAATCAAAGAATGAACCAGAATGGAAAAAACGTAAAATTTGAAGAATCTCATTTAAGAATTGTTTACGTGGAGCAAGAGGATAGGGTGCAGTGTTCCCCCTCCTCTGTCTCTCTGTCTCTCTTTCTCTCTCTTTCAATGGTTATGAAATAAAAATACATTTTTACAAACAAGTTTTGTCCTTTCTGTTATTGACTTGTTCAAATATTGATGTCTTCATGTTGCTTGTGCTTACATTTTCTTAAGTGAAATTACTAGACTGTGCTTCATGAAAACAGGAACAGACACAGATGATTACTAAGTGTTTTAGGTATCTTGAGGCCTTGTTTAACGGTTACTGGTCTTGTACAGAGGGGAAACACACGATGAGCTATATTTCTATCTTGAACTAATCTAGATCCATAATATGGAAGTAGGGAATCAGAAAGCTTAGTATTTCTGTACAGTATTACAACAGTTGTTTACATGACTGTAAATAATTAGATGAGTTCAAACCAAAGTGTGGCCATGCTAGGAGAGAGCACCAATCTGATTGTGTCTCACTATGATGCTTAGGGCTGAGAGAGCATGCTTGGAAGTCAGACGACTACAGGTACTTTATCTTTGTGTCTCTCTTCCAGCCTCATGGTGGGAATACTTACCCCATCAGTTTGTCAGGAGGGCTAAATGAAATGCACATGTGTAGCATTTGGCACAGGACTGGATGTATACTAAGTTTATACTAACTATGCTGTTTTCAGATATGGTTAACAATATCACTTTGTCTTATATTTTTTGTCAATAGTATATTACAAAGGCATGGAAATGCTTTGAAAATGTAAGGATCATTCTGAAAGTTTTACTTGTGAATAGAAAATGAAAACAAATGTTGGTAGTTTGTCCAAAGTAATAATGAGTCAATAGAATAAAATGTTGTGGGCTAATTTCCCATACACATGGGTCATTTTTGCATGTTAAGTAAGCCCCACTAGACAATTTAGTTTTAATACTTAACTTTTACCCTCCTGTTCTCATTTGTTCTAGTGAATTAAGTAATTATAAATTTATAAGGCAAAAGTATGCCCCCAAATCCAGTTCTATACATTTCATCTCACTCCTCTTTTAAAAAATCTATTTTAGCAAACTCCTACCCTTCTCCCTTATTACTACAGTATTCTAGAGTGGAGGTGGCCATTCTTTAGGTAAAACATTAGGAACTCCGTTCTTGTCCTTTCACTCTCACTCGTGACCCATCCCCTTCTCTTAAATCTGTAAGGTCACAGGTGATAAGAAAAAGCACCAGTGTGGGCCGAGTGTGCAGTATGTGGCAAGTCCTCCCTTGTCTTCTTGCATGAAATGACCGGATTCCCAGAGAAACCTCATGATGGTACAATTACTGTTTCAGCTTTGATGAGACCACAGTCAGTCTCTGCAGGGTAAGAGCCGTGGAGGGGTGTGTGAAGACTCAAGGGCTCTCTCTGGACAACAGTAATTATCAAATGCCCCCAATTTCCTTTTCCTGTTGAGACACACTGTATCTGAAATCAATCTCAGACCAATACTTTGTTCCACATCTTAGAATTTATAAATATATCGCATTGATGATGAAATTTTTCAAAAGTTACCACATACATCGCCACTGCTACCCCACCACCTAACGTATACGTTGCATCATATGAAAGTATTCATCATGTATATCCAAAGGTTGCTGCAGTGCTTGGGGGTAGGAATAAACATTTGCTCATAGTAGTCTTGGCAACACCTGCTCTGAAGCAAAGGCAGAGAAGGACAAGCACACGCAAGATTTTCTCACTTCTATCCATAAGTGGATGGGCCTTCCTGTGTTTGAGACTATTCATGTCACTCTAAAGATGGATTGAAAATTATTTCTTCCATAGAAGGTTGGCAGACATACAAGGATTTCAGTTTTGAATGTGTTGAGGAAGGGCCTTAGAACCAGGACTAGACAAATAGTGGGTGTTTGTTTTAACTGGTCCTGTCAACACTGTGGACATCACTGACTATACAAGGCTCAGAACCCATTACCTGTCGTATAACTTTTTGTCCCCTACTGTGATTGACTGTCTTACTGGTTGCTTAGAGGAGGAACTTGGAAGTCATTGTCATGATGCTAGCCACTCCCCTACTTCATTAATTATGTTCTGCACATGCCCTGTGGGTCTCTTAAAATTACCCTTCTCCTTTACTAAAATTTAGGCCCTCTTCATCATCACTCAAGAGTCTCCTTCACAACTAATCTCTGTTTTAATCTGGCCTTTCTCTATCTATGATTAACTTCAGAGTTAAACCAAAAATCTGAATTAAATCTATTCAAACCCCAAATCTATCATGTTACTCCTTTGCCAAGAACTTCCCAGAGTCAGTAATTCTGATCCATTTGTGGGGCATAGCCAAGATTCAGCTTCTTGTGTAGACTTCTGCTGATCTCACATAATTCTGAGGTCCAGTCTCATTGTTCACAGAAGGTACCCCAGCTTTCAGCACCAACATCTTTGCACTTGCTATCCTCTCCCTTCCCTGTCTACTTGGAGAATTCCTTTTTTATTTTAGAGATGGGAATCCATATCCTTTCCCTGAGCATGACCCACTGCAGCAGTGTGTCTTCCTCTGCTTTCCTGGCTGCGTACCTACCTCCCACTATCACCTCCATTTATACTGCATTGGGAGTGGATACACATGCATGGTTGTGTGTGTGTGTGTGTGTGTGTGTGTGTGTGTGTGTGTGTGTGTAAGGAACTCCAGGAGATCCAGTGCCCTCTTCTGCCCTCCATGAACACCAGGCACACAAGTATATACAGACATCTATACACACAAAATACCTAAACACATCAAATAAAATGGGGGGAAATTGATGATACTGATAGATTTAACATGGCCACAATTCTTTGACATTTTTCCCAGTTCTGTAGCAGTTTGACCAGTTAAACAGGACCCAGTTCAGCCCAGGCCTTGAAAAACTTCCAAGCTCTTTCTTTTGGGACCTCTATTCTGGCAACAAGGCAGCCATGATGTGAGAAAAGCTAAGGACTCTACACTGGGCAGGAAATAAAGGGCCGCTGGTCAACAAGCCCACCCACGCTCCCCATCTGACAGAACTTACTTTCTTTCTGGGGCAGGGTCTTGGTGTATCTCCCAGTCTGGCCAAGACCTCATGATCCTGCTGCCTTCTCCTCCCCAGTGCTGGAACTAAAGGTGTGAGCTCCCAAATCTGGCTTCTACTCTCTTATAAAACAGATCATCTGGTTTCAGTTGAGTCATCCCAGCTGTGGTCACATGGAGCAGAGATGAGTCAGCCTGTATAGACTCCTGACCAAGATGTAAATTAATGAGCAAAATAAGTGATTATTATCATTGGGAGCTGCTGAGTTGTGAAGCTGAGATACAGAAATACACAACTAGAATAGCTTTATAGATTACTCAACTATTAAAATACAACTGGCACTAATGTTCCAAATGATCAACTCTGAATGTTTTTTGAATGTAGTTTAGAGATTTATTTTTTCTACATCTTAAAGCTTAATTACAATGACAAGTATGAATCAAATACTCATTTTTCACTTGTTAAACATGTAAAGTTTGCAACACCACAAACCTCATATACAATTTCAGTAGTCTTTTAGTCCATTATACGTATGTCTCATCTTTACTCCCCTGTTATTGCAAATATAGATTGACCTTAAACTGGCTATCACAGACAATGCTGACTTGGATGGTGCCATGCCTTAAGTGTTTTGTGCATGCTCAAAGAACTTTGGTAGAAACTGATAAAAAAAAAAAAAAAAAAAAAAGGAATATGGAGGCTCAAGAAAAATGCCTTTTTGTCAAACAATCATTGTAATTTTAGTGCTTTGCCAATGGATGCCCAACTAGCAAGGAAGAAGATGGCTCTGGGAAATTCTACTAGCACAGTGCTTTGGATAGTGTCCTTCTAGAATCAGCACCCACCAGAACTTGAAATATGACTTTACTTGGAAGAGTCTTTGCAGATATTAAATTAAGATGAGATCATACTAAATTAAGGAGGGTCTGCAATCCAATGGCTAGTGTCCACATAAAAACAGAACCGCATACACGGAGAGAAAGACCCTGAGGAAAAAAAGGAAATGATAGTAATGTAGCTACAAGTGAAGGAATGCCAAAAGTGGCAACCACAAGTTAGGAAGAGGCAAAGGGGTAAGGAAGACTTCCTCCCTGGAGTTGTAAGAGGAAGCAGTTTCCTTCCCACACCTTGATTTCTGGTTGCTGGCCTCCAGAGCGAGGAGAGAGTAAACTCTGGGGGAATTTCCATTGTTTGAAGCCATTTCATCTATAGTAATTCTTAAAGTAAGTCCTAGAAAGCAAGTCCACTCTGCAACAAGATGTGAGGAAATGCTTTGGTCCAGATGAGCCTGCACAAGGTTTTGTATCACCTCACTTCATGAAAGACTCAAAGAATGAATAAAACCACAAAAGATGCTTAGTGTCTAGCATCAAAATTTAGAATTCTCCTCACTCCTTTAGCGTGGGGTTGAATAATGATTTTTTTTCAATCTACTAAATTTTGAAGTAATTTGTCATAATGGCAGCAAACAACTAACGCATTTTCGAATTTGGATGACTGATCTTAGATTTTGTGTACCTTAGTCACCGGCTTAGAACTTCTTGCTCAGTCTGAGGTGGCGCACTAAGAATTTTATGGCAATGTAATCTGATTACTTGATCTTACTTCTGGGCTGTTTGCTCTATAGGATAGGACAACTGACATGAATCTGTGACTTGGAGGTTGTAGCTCAAGGAGATTTTTTTTTTTCTATTCTTTTGAGCAGCATAGTTGCTGTCTTCTTCCCTGCCCACTCCCTGCCTTACCCAAACCCCACTAGTTTACCTGGTAGTGCTTCTCCAAGCCACTATAGCTTCTGCCTTTGGTTGGATCCTTGAGACATAACATTGAATTTTCCTAATCCCAAGTATCCTTGGACCTATAAAAAAAATCTTCAATGCTGAATAACCAAGGATGGTTTTACTGTTTATAATTCACTTTGAAGTATGGGTGGCTGACAACAGCCAGACTTTCTCCTCACAGCTGCCTGACAGAAAGGTCTTGACCATATATTTGATGCCTCTCCTCAGATCTCT